GCAGGAGCAGCAGCTCAGCTGCTACACTGGCCCCAGACACCCAACATCTTCCTCTGTCCTTTCTCCCTCCCCTCTGCCGCCAATCCTTATCAGCTGAAGGATCATTCATGACATGGCAGCGTCCCACACAGAATGCCAGCTTGTGCTGTGCCGAGGCACCCCTAGGTGTCAGTGAGCACTAGGCGGCCTCTTGTTTGCCTAGTGGAAGTACCAGACTGCCCATAGTCTTCTGGGACATGTGACAGGTTGCAGAAGACAACGGGACCATTCACAAGGCACAGCACACCCAAGTGCAGAGGGTACCCGCCTGGGAAACCGCAAGTTATCACAGACGGGTGCCCACACTTAAGATGCCAGCACCAGGGAGAGAGGACAGCTGATGAAACTGGCTACGGTGTAGACACCGCTGGATTGAGGGTCAGGTGAGTGTCTGTCTGTTTTTTTAAGTCAGCAGCTACAACTGTAACTGCTGACTTTTATTTTTTTACATTTTGACTGGAGCTCCACTTTAAGTAATTATAAAGCCTGAAGGTTTTATAATTACCTTTAGTGTTTAGTTTAAAAACCTTTAGTGTGCAGATCCCCCCGTAGCCCCCCAAATACTTGCCTGAGCTCGATCCTAATTCAGTGATGTGCACAAGAGTGGCTGCTGTCCTGGCTCTCTTCCTCCTCATTGGCTTAGAGACAATGGCTTACACTGCTGTCAATCACAGCTAGTGTGGAGGGAGCAGGTGCAGGGCTCAGCTCCATTCTGTGAATCTTATGGACACACAGAGCAGGGCTCAGAAGTGAGTGCACATTAGTGCCCCCAAAACAAATGCTCTCAGGAAGGGGCAGGGGTTGAAGGAGCCCAACGTGATGCCATGGGGACCCGAAAAGAGGAGGATTAGAGTTTCTCAGGTAAGTATAACATGTTTGTAATAAAAAATAAACCTTTGTTATCCCTTTAAACTAAGGATGATTGTAACTGAGAATACCATTGGATTACCACAACAAATTAGACCCTACTGTTTTCAAGTGCAGTGATCCATTCTATCCCAGTAAATTAGGCACCTTAGATATAAACTATTTTAGGAACTTTAGTTATTTGCGCTTCAATACAAGTAAGGCTCCGTCTACACTAGTGCGATTTCAGATGCGATCTGAGTCATACAGAATCACATGACAATGGAAATCATACTGCTTTTAATGGTGCACATCAATGCAATTCAGCACAGCAAGATTTTGGAAGGTTCCTGTACTACTTTGATGTGATGTGCAATTTTGGCCCCATAGAACAAACAAACCACTTCCAAGTTGCAATACATTATTTACACTGAAAATCAGGTCAAAATTGGATCACAACAATGTGAACCTAGCTTAAATCTGTTGAAAGTCTTTTTTCAAAGTGGATTTAGGGAAAATACTCTTTTTGACCCTCTAATGAAACAGCCCTGGTTATTGCCTTGTTTAGTGCATTTTACCAATAACTAAGATAGCATGCACATGGACAAAATTAGCTTTTTGTCCCTCTGAAAGCTAGCCTAGGATCAATCTGCAGTTTTATATTCTAAAAAGTGTTTCTTTTGTCAAAGAATTAGCATTCAGAGAGTTTTCTATTTTCTTTTAGAAAATGTAAAAATGTTATATTAAACATTACAAATTATATTGAAAAGCCTCATCTACATTTCTGGCAGCTATAGTATATCTTCAGCATTGCTAACCTTATTTAGAAGAAAACAATAAACCAAAAAAAGAAACACTTACTTTACCATCCACCAATTCAATGCCCAAACCATCCATTTTTTTGCCACTGATTCCAATAAGAACACCATTGGTTCTTGTTGTACGAAATGTCAGTTCAACTACTAAATCAGTGCCTACTTTAAAAGCTCCCACTGAAAAACAGAAAGTTAATATAAACTAAATTGCTTGGAGTGACAAATGTAGATCAATAACATCAGTCATCATCAAAGGTACAATATTATCCATCATTAAAGAATAAAGGACTTCAGAGTCAAACTCCCATTTAATATATTTCAGAACCCAACTGGTTGCATTGGGTTACCATTTCCTATCTTTGTATGCATTAATAGTTGGGCTGGAAAGTAAACATAGATACAGGTGTTTTTATCATCTAAAATCTGCACAAAGGATCTAGGAGTTTGATACACCAAGATAGAGCATGTTCAACTTTGCAAGGGAATTTTCACTTAGCTGATACCCAATCATTTGCAAGGAAAAAAAAAACAAAATTGTATTTTGCTTCCACGTGATCTGATGATGAAAGTCAGCAGAGCTTCACTTCAGTCGCTAAGCTAAGGGAAAATTCCTTTGAAAACTGAAAAATTAACTTTGCTAAGTAAACAGTCAACTTTCTTGAAGTAAACCAACCCCTAGTGTGGACAGTGATAAAAAATCTCCAGTTTAGTTTTTGTATCCCCTTGGCGCCAGAACCTCTTGGCCCTTTAAGGGGATTGTGACACCAGGAGGCGGGGCGGAGTTTAGGGTCATGTTATCAAAAAGCTCCTGACTGCAAGTAGCAACTGGGACCCTCCTGTGAGGTGCCGGTAAATTTGCCGGGAGTACGCAGGGCATTCTGGATGAGTAAGGAAAGGCTAGGGCCTGTCATCCTGCATAAGAATCCTGGCCATTGGGATCAGACTGGCCAGGCTGTATTTCACCCTCGGAGACAGACATTGTTGGTGCTTCGGAACCTGCTCCAATCTATAAGTCTGCACAGAATTGTGAGTCACTAAAAGTACTAGAAGGAATTTCTGTTAAAGGGGGCAATTGCCAGCTTTGAAGACAAAGGGTGTACTAACTCTTTCACATCTAATGTTATTTTTGTTCACTAAATGATTGGGTGAATTTCATTGTATCTTTTTTAAGTAGATCACCTAAATACATATCTAGCACTTATAATATCATTCACAATAGCATTCAGGAAAACAAAAGAGTCCACTATCCAAGCCAATAAGGATTATTGCTTTCCATAGTGCAGTTCATATAACTTCATTACCATGCTGGTCCTCCACTGTCCAGCCAGTAGTTGGGCTGAATATTTGACCAATTTCAGCACTGAAGACCAGTGTGTTGCTTTTTGGCAGATGTACCTGGATCACAAGTATTTTGGGAGATGATATTAAAAAAGAGTGTGCCCAAATTTTTGCTTTAACTACAATACTTCAAAGATGCTGCATTTTATTCAGGTATTAGGTTATACGAAGAAATTAATTGACCTTAACTTCTACAACTAAAATATATAACAAATTTAAAAAAATATACAAAAAGTCCATGAAACAATCACCTGTTTTTGCAAACCCGGATCCATCAAAATAGGTTCCTGTTTGTGGATTAACAAAGCATGAGCCAACATTGTAGCTGGAAGTAGGATTATTAAAATCTGTATTTCCTTCTACCAATCTGAAATTGCGGACGCAGCCATCTATACTATGTAAAACCTGGCAAAAAAAAGCAACAACTTAAACTAAAAAGTTTCTAATAAAAAAAAAACTAAAGTTACAGTTATCACATTTTTACACAAAACCATGCTAACGTATCAATTGACTATAATGCACAATATATTATTTTAAAAAATGTATCGGAAGGAAAAATGCATATGTCAAAGATGCAGCTAAGAAGTATCATATGCTGGCAAAGCCTCAGTCAGTCTTGCCTTCATAAAATGTGTCTAGCCCCTGCCTGACCTACTATTTAAGTATGAATTGACATCACAGGCCTCTGATTCAAACTCAGCATACCTGTGGGCTCATGTGGCCTTGCAAGATATCTATGGTGTCTGCACACATGGTTGCTTTATTTCCAAAACACCATAGCACACCCAAAACTGCCAATGCCATATTCTACGGCTAATAACCAAAGCTTGCATGGTTGTGCTATACCCGCTGACCTCATCTTGTCCTTCTAGCTACCTTAATGGCCCAGAAATGTGATAGGTACCTTAGTGGGCCTATAGGGAGGCTAAGAGATTAATGTGGACCACAACACAACTGCACAGGGTCAGGGTGATAAATATTTAAGATAACATCCTAGAATTTGATTTTGGAAACCCGGAACCTTTGCAAACAGTGGTCACATCATCACTGTGCTGACCATAGCCTAAGAAGAGAGCAGAGCTATGGGATGGACCCAACAGGGCCAACTCATGACAGACATCCTGCAGAAAACTAGAGGAGAGGGTTGATACAAGATCAGTTACCCTGCACAAGGTGAGAAAGCAGCAGTTACTAGTCTTTATTATTGAAAGCTCCTGCACAAAGACCAGCTACACTGGATTACCACAGAGGTCTGGCAGAAATACACAAAATGTATCAAGATGTACGTCACAATACACCATCTTGTATTTACACATTTTGTGTTTATTGTAGTGTAACACTTTAGTGCTACACTACACTGTTCCATTCACCTGAACCTTTTGATTACCACATTCTATATATAAAAAAAAATATAAAGGAAACAAAACAATGAAAAAGCACTTATGGGTTTAGCCAGTCATTTTTTTGGATACTCCGTGGTCTCTGTCATGGGGGATGTGGCACGGAGTCTGTCCTTTGTCGACTCTCTTTGTGCTAAAGCGTGTTCCCTCCCTCAGTGACTGCATTTGGACAGTGTGTAAATGAACTTACAGAGTTTCCTGAATTAAAATAATGCTGATTCTTCAAAAAAAAAAGTTGAATGAGCTAAACAATCTGTTATATGCAGTATTTAAAGCTTGGCATCAAGCAAATAGCAGAAAGTACTGTGTACCTACAGTAGCATGCAGTATTGGCAGGTCAAAATAAATATACATTTTGATTTTTGGAATTCTTGCTAAATATAAGCCTGGTAAATAGCTAACATCTAGCCTAATTTGCTCATTATCCACAGCAGCATGGAAAACAGAGAAGATGTAACTACGAGCACATTAAAAAAATATTTTACAGACTATTTAGAAGGTAAAAAACTATCTGACCTTCTGTAAAACCCTGAGAAAATATAAAATTAGAGCACAGTCTTACCGGGCCAATTCGTTTGGTAGTATAATTAATAGGCAGTCCACCAACATAGAGCATGCCCACCACATCCAGGATGTCTGCTTTCTTTGGACTGTTTGTGCTGTTTGCAATTCCATCAACAAACAGATATCCTGTCTGCTTTGTTCTGAATATATTTATCTTGGAGAAAACACAAGCTTAGCGTTAACTGTAAGAACTCCTTTACATAGAATTTACAATTTCCAGGTCTGTATAACTCATAGTATGATTCTTAAAATAAAACATAAATCCTGCATATAATGTTATAAGCAAAACATTTTTATTAAAAAAAAAATTATGCGTTTGTGCTATATAGTCACTTGTTCACAACCCATAGGTTCACTTGTATGCACTGTATCACCATACCTGAGTTTTAAAATTAGAGTAAATAACTACTGTATTTGCACAAAAGAATGCATAATTATTTATGAATATATCTAAACAAGAAACATACATAGAAATGTCTACCCTTTTATCATTTCATCTTTGCTTGTGAGTGTTCTTTTATTATTTAGATCCAAACTGCATGGTAGATTGCTCATTGGTTTTGAATGACAGTGGCAAAACACAGTTGTGTAGGTTGTGTGATTATGGCTAGTGAAGTCAACAGGTGACTTTTTTAGATGAATGACCCACAACCATCCACAGGCAGTTTCTGATCAAGCTATTGAACTGCAAACTGCTCAACCATTCAGACTTTAGATGCTTTTTTGCAGTGTATACCAACATTTGGCTAGCTTTGATAAGGTTTCTGGTTTAACAACAGGTGTTCTTCCAAAGACAAATTTACAGTACTCAAGGGAAACCACACCAAAAGCCCCATGTTTTACCTTTTATCTCATCATACTTGAGACAATGGAGCACATGTATGAAAATATTGGGTCTTATCGCCTACCTTTTTATCCCAGAAACCCCACTCTGACTGCTTAGATGTGTATAAAGAGCATTTTTTTTTTTATATCAGGACCTTTATACTTCATGCTGAGCAAGTCTAACAATTGGAATTCCTATCTTTACCATGTTCTATGTCTGCCCCATTAGAACATACTTGAAAATATGTTGCATTTTTTATTAGAATGTGGTTCATATGAATGCCTTTTTTTTCAGTTGCATATATAATTAATTACAGATAATTTAAATAAACACTTAAATAAAAAAGACTTAGGGGTTTATTTACTAAATCTATGTGGTACAAAATCTGGTGCATCTCTGCATAGAATCAATCAGCTTACAGGTTTTTCTGTCAAAGCTTAACTGAACAAGCTGAAGCAAGAAGCTGGCTACCATGCACAGCTGCACCGATTCTGAGTTCACCAGTTTTAGTAAGTCTCCCCCAAAATCTCTGACCTGCTATATGTGGCTTGTTAACTACACAACATCAAATGAAGGTATGGCATGCACAAATGGTTAATCTAGAGTGTTTCAAACTGTATGGGTTGGCAAAAAATCAATTTAAAAATATGGACATCAGGAGGGGATATCTCCAAGGACTGTTTAGGAAGAATTCAATACACTAGGTCCTCTCATAGAGACAATTGTTTGATCTGGAAAACCTATTCCAACCCTCTTGGTAGCGTGAAGGCATTGTGTTGACCGCATTCCAGAAGTTATGTGCTTCCATCCCCAAAACCTTTTGAACCATCCAGCAACATAGCCCCACCACAAGCCAGTGTGAGCAGATATTCCACATGCAGAAGCTTCTCTATGGACCACTGATGGATACTTTTGAGTGAATTTTAACATTTTTTCCCTAATAAACATACTTCATACCACACCTAAGTTGGTGCAATATTTTTTGCTGGTTTTTTTTGCCTTTAGTATGTGGTCTGTTGCCTGCAAATAATTCATATTCTAAGTAAAACTTAAAAACTGCTGGGCTAATAAGATATACTGCATGGACTTGCAGGCTAGCTTGTAAATGTGCTATCCACTTTACTGACTCAGTTATAAACATTCTTACACTGGCTTTTTGTGATCAGTAGGGCAAAAAAGCCTCACGTGTACATTAGTATGTGTAACATTAGTGTGCACATTACTAAGTATAACCACAATTTAAAAAAAAAATGTATTCAATATAAGCACCTTATGCCACTCTCCATCATTAACTTTTTGAGGAACCATTGTGGTGGTATCTCCACTTCCAAGATCATATCTAAAGTGGGCCATTCCATCTTTAATCTGAACAGTGGCAAAGTCAGCATGGTTGATACGAGCCATGTAAAACAGCAAGCCTGAATCGGCAGTAGTGCGAAGTTCAAGTTCTATGGAAAGTCTGTAATTATAATAGAGAAAAAAAAATGCAGTGAAAATGTAGATTACTATGTCACAGTAAATTACAAAGGAATAAAAAGCCACAGCAAAGATTAGAAGGAATACAACTTACTTGTTTTTCACTTTTGTGTCATCAAATGCAAATGCCAAATGGCTATTCCTGGACAGGCCAAACTGCTTTCCTCCTGTGATAATCTCCGGCTTTTTTTCAGCTGCACAGCCCTTTAAATAAAAACAAAAAAGTTCTACATATTTTTTCTGTAGTTTTGTTGATTAATTAGTTACTAAGGTTGTCCTATATTCCTTTGATGGACTCCAAGACTATCTTTGGCTTAAAAAAATAAGAAAAAAAGCATCCTAATCTATAAGATACAGTATAAATTATATGTATCCTTTGCTGCTGTAGACTGCAAAGACCATGCTTTGTGAAGTTGTGAAAAGCACAAAAGCCGTAGGATCATTATTGTTATTTGGCTGCCACAAAGCTAATGACATGGTGCTTAAGTAAGTTTGAGTAATGCTGCTAAAATAGATCTGTCTGATTCAAGTCTCTAAAGGCAATATACAGCCAAAAATAAATGGACAGAGAAATCATTGCAACAATAACTTTACTAAACGTTACATCAATAATAAAATATATATTTTTTATTTAATATAAAATATAAAACTATGGGTAGAACTGCACAGGATTATGACTACATATGCAAAGTCAAACAATGTTAACTCTCCATATATAGATAACTGTTAAAGATGTTGTCAGAACATTTAAAAAAAAATCTTACCATAAATATATGTGCATTTAGCACATTTTATGCATGCTGTTTTATTTTTTAAAGAAGGGGGGAAAGGTTAGAATTACTAATACATTTTTTATTGCAGGCTGTTACTGCTGCTGTTATAGGGCAACACAGGCACAGTAAGTGAAAGGATATCTCTTTGATGGGGAAGGAGAGAACAATATAAACACATTTATTTTGGAGAGTGGGGAAGGGCCAGAACATATTTTTATTATTCTCTGTATCTTCCTGTCTCAGTGACACTTGTACCTTGTAATTTCTTCTCTTGGTGTCACTGGGACAGGAAATGCGAGGATGTCTCCACAGTGAGGACACATACAGAAAATAGAAACTTTTGTCTTGAGTTGGGTTTGGCTTTTATTTTTGGAGCTGGGATTTCATTATTTACCAATAATTATAATAAGGAAGCATTGCTACAGAAACCCCCCAAAGAGTCCAGGGGCTTAATACTTCTTTTTTTTTTTATTGAAAGGTTATGGATATTGCTATTAAAAATTCTGGCAGACAAAAATATTTTCTTATAGATTCTGTATATCTGATTTCTTAAAATAATTTCAAGGTAAAGCACATTATGGAATGCTTATGATTCGCCTGCATTTAGGGCTTCCATATGTCTACAATACAAGAACATATGAAACATAATTTAAATCTTTTATAGGGATTAAGTTATCAAAAATCTTCCAAGGTTTACTGTAAATTTCACACACTTTTGGTACAGGTATCAATTCCTCCTTGAGGATTGCACAAAACAGTGAACAACTGCTTGTAAATGGAAGGATGTGTGCACAGACTTGTGGTTAGTGCTGGTGAGTCAAAAAAGAGGCACACTTGTGTAACTTATTGTTACCATTTTGTAAGTCTAAGTGCAAAGCTAGTGAAGAAAGAGTTTAGCTAAAAGCTTGGAACAATAACTGGCTTCTTTACTGTGATTAAGAAAAAAACTTACTGTACCTAAACTTCAAGCTATGTCTGTCTAAACAAAATGTTATACAGATGCTGTTAATTATAATGTTCATAAAATAAAGAAAACTCTGCAATAACAGAAAAGCTTGCTAAATCTTTGTTAAAAGTGAAATGTGTCAAGTTTTAAGATAAAAGCTTCCCATTTTTTGTCATGCCCACAAGTAGGATGTAAGAGTTCATGACTAAGAGCCTTAAACAGCTTACTTGCTGTTTTAATTACCCAAATCCATGGTCTCCTGCAGCCATTTATATGACTTATGCTGAGACATTGGTTGCATGATCTTTGTCGAAGGAGCTAAAGGAGATGATGTGCAGGCAGAGTCAAATAAGGCTGCTTTTACACTGCTCCAATGCAAAAACACAGTAAAAACACAGAGGTGTTTATGCAGCATTTTTGCATTTACAGTGATTTTGTTTTTGGATGCCTATTAACCAAAATCATGTGACTCAAAAAACCCAACAAAAACACAATGTAGTTTTTATGCAAGTTTGCTGAGTTTTCTATTCATTTCAATGGGGACCTACATTTGTCAATTTCATTTCAATAGGGACCTACAAGATTCATCAAGCAGGACTTTTCAAAATGAAGATTTTCACAGGATTTAAAGGGATTGTGTGTTTGCCAAATTTTTAACTTGGTAAAAACACAGGAAAAATGTATGAGCATGAAAGCAGCCTAATGAGTACCTGTTTAAAAACCCAGACATTTTTGTGTAGATATACTTCCTATTTCCTGTTTTTTGGATACGCCCAATCTGTTTCTATATTATACAGAAAGGTTTCAGTTTTTCTAGGACCAAGGGTTGCAATAATTTTAACTCTAAACCAATATTTAGGCTGCTTATTTGGGCTATAAAAGGAGCTTTGTATTCAGAAAGCATTGCGAACATCCGCGGTGGTAAAGTATATGCCGCTTTCACTGAAAAGTAGTGAAGAGCTATATGGACATTTGACAATTTAGACACTCCAGATATATTTGGTCCAGGCTGGACCAGGAGGAACACTGAGCAAAAAGTCTCAATGTGATATCCATATTTGGTCTCATGTTTCTTGCTGATGCTGCTCCTCATACATCAGAGCATTTATGTCAATTACCGCACAGGACTCTTATAGTCTCCCTACATTACACAAGGATAACCTATGTGATGAAAATAGGTGCAGTCTTTGCAAAAGACATACAGTGGGGTCGAAAGTTTGGGCACCCCAGCTAAAATTTTGTATTAATGTGCATAAAGAAGCCAAGGAAAGATGGAAAAATCTCCAAAAGGCATCAAATTACAGATTTGACATTCTTATAATATGTCAACAAAAGTTAGATTTTATTTCCATCATTTACACTTTCAAAATAACAGAAAACAAAAAAATGGCGTCTGCAAAAGTTTGGGCACCCTGCAGAATTTATGGCATGCACTGCCCCCTTTGCCAAGCTGAGACATGCCAGTGTCATGGATTGTTCTCAATCATCGTCTGGGAAGACCAGGTGATGTCAATCTCAAAGGTTTTAAATGCCCAGACTCATCTGACCTTGCCCCAACAATCAGCACCATGGGTTCTTCTAAGCAGTTGTCTAGAAAACTGAAACTGAAAATAGTTGACGCTCACAAAGCTGGAGAAGGCTATAAGAAGATAGCAAAGCGTTTTCAGATGTCAATATCCTCTGTTCGGAATGTAATTAAGAAATGGCAGTCATCAGGAACAGTGGAAGTTAAAGCAAGATCTGGAAGACCAAGAAAAAATATCAGACAGAACAGCTTGCAGGATTGTGAGAAAAACAATTCAAAACCAACGTTTGACTGCACGATCCCTCCAGAAAGATCTGGCAGACACTGGAGTTGTGGTACACTATTCTACTATAAAGAGATACTTGTACAAATATTGTCTTCATGGAAGAGTCATCAGAAGAAAACCTCTTCTACGTCCTCACCACAAAAATCATCGTTTGAACTTTGCAAATGAACATATAGACAAGCCTGATGCATTTTGGAAAGTTCTGTGGACCGATGAGGTTAAAATTGAACTTTTTGGCCGGAATGAGCAAAGGTATGTTTGGAGAAGAAGGGGCACAGAATTTAATGAAAAGAACCTCTGTCCAACTGTTAAGCATGGGGTTGGATCAATCATGCTTTGGGGTTGTGTTGCAGCCAGTGGCACAGGGAACATCTCACGTGTAGAAGGAAAAATGGATTCAATAAAATTTCAGCAAATTTTGGATGGTAACTTGATGCCATCTGTGAAAAAGCTGAAGTTAAAGAGAGGATGGCTTCTACAAATGGATAATGATCCTAAACACACCTCGAAATCCACGGGGGATTACATCAAGAGGTGTAAACTGAAGGTTTTGCCATGGCCTTCACAATCTCCTGACCTCAACATAATTGAAAATCTATGGATAAACCTTAAAAGAGCAGTGCGTGACAGACAGCCCAGAGATCTCAAAGAACTGGAAGACTTTTGTAAGGAAGAATGGGCAAAGATACCTCAAACAAGAATTGAAAGACTCTTGGCTGGCTACAAAAAGCATTTACAAGCTGTGATACTTGCCAAAGGGGGCAGTACAAGATATTAACTCTGCAGGGTGCCCAAACTTTTGCAGACGCCATTTTTTTGTTTTCTGTTATTTTGAAAGTGAAAATGATGGAAATAAAATCTAACTTTTGTTGACATATTATAAGAATGTCTAATCTGTAATTTGATGCCTTTTGGAGATTTTTCCATATTTCCTTGGCTTCTTTATGCACATTAATACAAATTTTTAGCTGGGGTGCCCAAACTTTCGATCCCCACTGTAACTGATTAGAAGAACTTTTATTCAAGGACTGACGTGCCAATCCATACAGGGCCCTGCTATACACATTGAGCATGTTTTTTAAGCCATCACAATTAATTGATACATCTTAGTGCACTTTAGGCTCTACAGCACTAGTTAGCCCACAAGGTTTCCCAAGACTCACACATGGGAAATACCTACTACAATATAATTTCTTTAATCTACTATGCAGCTTTTGCTGCGGTATAGAACCCATGTGTGACTCTACATGCGTCCGGACGTTTATTTGTCAATTTATGCTTGTCTTGTCTTTTTTGTCTATCCATAGTGAGATGTTTTTCAACCATGATATTTATGACTGTCTTTGCTTGGAATTCACATTGGTGGTTTTAACAAATATTTAGTAATAAAAATATTGAACTTTTAAATTATATTTTGAGTTCAGTAATGCTTTAGTGTTACACCAGCCCCAAAAATATTTGCCACCAACAGTAACCACTGTGCCCACCTTCTGGGTTGTGGATTTTGGTTACGGTGACACAACCTAATTTAAATGGAGGCATGCTGGTATACCTATATGTTTTTTTATCAACCTCAAATGTTTATTTGAGCGGCTTTGTATAAAAGGTACGCAGTTTTGTCCAGAATAAAATCTTGTCCTATTACACAGTGGGGTTTATTTACTAAAGCTGCTT